AAATAACACAGAAAATTTCAGCTTTTCAAGTAAAATTACTCAAATTTGTTAATGACAAAAAAAAAACATTGTAAAAGAGTAAATTAGATCATGCCCTTTGACTAAAAAGTACAAAAAAAATTTGTATTCAAAATCAAAATACCCACCAAGGAGTGGAGCACACTGGAGTGGTAACACTTGACAACGTCAACCATCCGTTGAGGAGGCTGATGATGACCCCCCCTCCCCTTTGATCAAACGAAAACTAGTGGCTGATCTGACTCCTTGGCATGTGCCAATACTAATTTAACATCGAAATGAATAAAGATTATGCAGGGATTAGTTGTCTCACTGATAAAGTCAAACGTTGGACCATCAATACGATAGTAACGTGGGATAAAAAGGCAAGTACCTTTTCGTGATTTCTTGTAAAGTTGAGGTTGTTGATTCGCGGAACTGCAGCGCTGAAAGGCGTTGTTGTTCGTTATTCAATCTAAAAATACAATCGCAAAAAAATTTATCTCAGAATTAACAGAGATTCTAAAACACGAAAGGCGAGCAAAACGGAAAAGACGACACAATGCCCAAATTTGACCGATGGACGGCGTGCCAGCGGGTGATCACTTCTGCCAAAGAACTATCACTCGGGATACTTGTCGCGGAAAACAGCGAAAAGCCGGTCAAGAAGCCGTCACAAAGAAAAAGAGAAGGTGTATCTTGCCCATAGGCAGATATACAGTGAATGTGCTGCCAGGCCAACCTGAAGCACAAAGACCGGACCGACGGTGTAGTAACAACATACTGCGTCTGGACGTGAACAGAAGTGGTTCGGTACCCTTCCGGCTCAGAACAATTTTCGAGAAAGGACTCCGTTCACGATGTTTCGTTAAATGGTCTTTGATTTTCGCAAACAGTGAAACAGACCGAGAAGCAAGGAGAAGTTGACTTAAAAAATCAAGAAAAAAGATTTCTTAAAAAACCAGTGCTATAACGCACATCTTAACGATTTCCTTGATAAGCGTTCGTGTTTCTGTCAGTTGCGCTTCTCCAAACGGCTGAAATAATTATGCATAATAAACATCGGTTTTTGCGTAATTTTGTCCATAAAGGACAAATTTACATCACAAAACCACAAATTTGAGAAGCATCGGGCGTCAGTAAGGCTGAGTACCCGGCTATGCAGCACTAGTCAAAGGAACTGGAAAAGCTTTCAGCTGTACCGATGGCGCATCAGACTGTGAATATTGGTAACTTCTCCCGTACCCAAGTATAAGAAGTTCCTGTTTCCTTGCTTTTTTAAGCTAACACAAAAAAACTTCCCACAGAAAATGTTTACATCCTCTCGGCGTGATCAGTGTTTACGGATGAAGTGCAAATCTAGTACCAGCATGACAGAAGGAAAGCCTTCGAAAATATGAGCAGCACCTCACGTCTAGATTTTCACACCTTTGTTTACGTATTTGTCAATCATCTGCTGTTCTAATAACGCCTATTTTACTGACTTAAACAGCTATTGTTTCCCTGTCGCGTTTCTTCTCGCCACTGACGCAGTAGCTGGCATCTTTACCATTATTCTCGGCTCAATTTTGAGCTTTTTTCCTTACTAGTGTTCGTATGGTCCCATTCTTATCTCACTGGAATTCTTCTGTTATGTTCATTTATCATACCAGTGCTATATGATAAATTTTGAGCGATGGGAGCTAACTTGATGCCGAAATCTACAGTGTTCAGCCAGAAGTCCAATTCGTTCACATATCGTTTCCGATAAAGACGGCAGTGCTATTTGACGGATTCTGGATAAATATGCGTACATTGATTCGCCAGCAATACGGCCCAAATCACCGTTGATGAACTCCAGCTGCCGCTCTAAAAACTCACAGCCTTCATCGCTGAATTACTGAGGTATGCCTCGTAAGGAGAATATGCGAATGAGGGGGGTTTTCCACCCCAATCTAAAATATAAAGTGCGGTTTCGTTCCAGTAAAACGTAATTCCGGCGCTAGTTTGAGCCTTCCATGCCAAAATTTTTCGCTTTTTTGACTAATATTTACTAAAATCACCAGGACAATTCGTGTGGATCCCATGCTAGCGATGTTATTACTCCCATAAATCAAATGCAGCTATGCCAGGTCTTCGTCTTTCCCATGATGTATGCCTCCAGTTAGCAGTACCTATCAATTCTATGTAAATGCGCCACGTTTTGAAGGCCCTTCATAAGCACTTACCGATTTCTCTTAATTCATCCATTGCGATCATTCGATCCTTATAAGGCGCATTGGCATCTAAAAAAAAACCTGTAATAACTGCCTAAAAAATATACCAAAAAATCAAAAATCTTCTCGGATTCACAATCCCACAGAGAACGGAGGCAGTCGAAAATAGCCCGAGTGGTAGTGGTATTTGTTATAACCGAACCACTAGCTGGCCAGACTGTTCAAGACACCTTTTTCGAAGGCAAATTAACAGCATTTTCAAATCCCTCTCATGCAATTCTCCTAAGAAGCACCCCTGAAATATATGAGAAACTTACGCTCTGCAATTGTTCCAATTTCGGTGAATTTAGGGGCACGAAGTAGCTGAAACTGTCGAACAATTTCGATCCCACGGTCCAGTTCTTCCTTTTTACGCTAAAAAATGAAAAATTTCAGCTGAAACTTTAAAATCTACGCTGAGCAATTATCACAGAAAGCCATTTCCTCATTTGGGCTTCTTTTTACAGCAATTTCACAGCTTTTCCACAATACTTCCTCTTCACAACTTAGTGTTTTTTAGTAATAACTTCAGTGCAATGTCACAAGTCGTAATCCACTACGTCAGTCCCCCCGTGAACATTCTCCTCTTTCCACTGCTTTACACTTTGGTCTGTGCAAAAATAGTTGAAATGTTGTCTGGTTTCTAAGTT